GTACTTTTGATTGGGTGTGTATTTATGCCATTTTAAATTTAAGGAAAGACTTTTGGAAGAAATTTGTAACACAGCATTGTCTGATTATGATATAAATGTTGGTTGGCTGCAAGAGACATACTTTCTTATTTCTCACTGTAGTTGTAAAACACGTAAAGCCCAAGCTGAGCTATTGTTGAAACGTTTGATAGTATAATGCCTAGTATTTAAGATAGTGGAGTTACGTCAACAGTGAACAAGGAGTAGTTGTTTTGATTCGTTCTCATCCTTACTTTCGGACACTAAACAGGTTTTCCAGTCAAAAATAGTAAGGTAAATTTAAGCCTGCTGAAATGATCAAGCTAGGAAATATCTTAGACAGTTCAGGAATGTTTCAGAATTTATGATATTGGCAAATATAGAAGCCATTATCATACTTCATCACTGTCTAGGTGTGATTCAACTGTTGTCTTTTTGAATGTTTATACTCTCAGGACCTGTCATAAATACACTCGAATACTAGATTTTTTTTTTTTTGTTCCAAAAGTGTTTTTCCAGTATTACATTGTAGAGATAAAAAGGAAGCCTATAACAATATTCTTGACTTCAATAATTTGTTGGAAAGTTAAAATTTATATATGAAACTATATTTTGATTGCTCCCCAGTAATCTTGTACTCCAGATGGACAGGAAAGAGAGAGATTATTATTGATGAATACAGTCAGGAAAGTTTCACGCAGGTGGCAGGAGTTTAGATAGCTAATATAATTTTCCAAAGTGGCCTGTCCTTTCCATAATATTTCATGAATCCTAGAACAAGAGTTGGTATGTTTCTCCTTGTAAAGCAAGTTGACTGTGGGAATGTATTGTTGAACTCATGAATTCATTAATGATCGTCTGTTGAAAGTCCACTGTGGATTAAGTATTGTTTTTTGAATATGACTAAATCAAGCTCTTGTCATAAAACATAGATATGGTCAAAATAAGTAACTGTAAGACCAGCTGTCATATTAGATGTTAGTCTAGACCCCCCAAATGAGATAATAAAGTAGTTGTTTTTTTACATAAATATTAATATTGGTAAATAAAATCCGAAACATCACAAATAATTGCTTATACCTGGGTATTAGACATTTGCATATAATAAAAGACTTTCTTCAGATTTTGCTTCAGTAGAGTCTTAGAAGAAATGCCTCAAGCATTCACACAAACTCAACAGCTGTTCTGTATAAAGCACTGTGATGGGTGGTGCTGGGATGGGGGTAGTTATTTTGTATATGCTTTGTGCCCAAGATCTGGTGTAGAATAGACCTCCCATAGTTTTCATAGTCTCTTAAGGCATTTGTAGGTCATTGTACACTAGAAATTCTAACCCTGGCCTCTCATCTCTAGGGAGCTGCTAGGGCAGTTTGGACATGGCTGGCTTGTGTGGGAGGTTCCTTTTAGATTTTGAGGGTGGGGAAGGCAGGAAAGTGACTGGAGATAGATCCCCACCAGCCTGTTCTCTTAAAATCCAATTTATGTGATAATACCTTGAATTCATTTATATTAATAGCTGCTCTATGGTATTGTTAATTCCTGTTTAAGAAAACACAGAAAGATCTGTGTTATGTTATGCCTAGTAAACTATTAATGCAATACTTTTACATCATTATAAATAAAAAGATTTAGGGGAAAACTTCATATATGGGATTAAGAAGTTAGTAGGCCACTGTTAATAATTCATAAAATGAGTAGTGTTTCCAGCTTTTTATTTTTTATAGAACAAATGACAAACATGAATGCTTCATTTGAACCAAGAAATATATACTTTTATGGAACTGAGACTATAAAATTTAAAGAGAACAATCTTAGTTTTTTTTTGAAGTCTTTTCCCTGAAAAATCAACAAAAGGAAAATGAGGGAACAAAATTTATTGTCAAATTTGGGTCAGTCCCAGAAAACTGCTGGAGGGAGAGTAGTTTTTGTTGTGGGGAACCAGACACGCAATTGTTTTGCATGTTAAAATTTTTCTTCTCAGACATTCTCATTATAATCAACTATTATCTTACTGAGTCTATAAATAGTATTTAGATGGGAAACAAACCAGAAAACCATTCAAGTAAAATAGAAAACAGCATCATTAATTTTTGGACACAGAGGTAGAACAGCAACATGAAAACCTGAGTTTTCTTACTTGTAACCAAAATCTAACTTACGGCAACTTCACAATTTACTCTTGAAGTAGTAGGTACTTTGGGGAAGCCCGCAGACTTCAGCAGTCATCATAGGCATGGGAAATACTGCTTGGGCTGGAGATCCTTCTCTGGCTGACCAAGTGGGAGGTTCAAGTGTGCTCCTGCCAATCTAAAATCGAATTATGTTTTCATTTATTACAAAATAGCTGTCGGCAGGCTTCTACGTACTAGATATTTATTTACCCTTTTGTGACATTTTGTAACATGTGCTCTATGCCCTCCTAGGGTTTAGGCTAGTAGGAAAAGAAAGCATTTGTAGCATGTTTTATTGTTGATTATTTGTTTTAAAAGTTATAGATTTTATTAGGCTTAAAAAACTGGCAATCTCCTATCCTGCCAGTCCCCACGACTTATTTTAATCCCCCAGAAAGACCACTTGGAACATTTAGTCATTTCTTCTAATTTTTTCATGATTTCATGATTTTTCATGATTATCCTATTGTTTGTTTGTTTGTTTGTTTGTTTTTTAGATCTCATCATTTGGTTTTATACTATTGTCATATATGACTTCATACTTCATACTGTCTTACACACTCCTTTTTCCTCTCAGTAGAGTTAAAACTTAATTTTGGTAAAATCAATTTTTAATGTTCATATTGTAATGACTTTGTACATATTACTTACAAATCAGCTACTTAGTTTATTATGATCGTGTTATTTGTATAACTTTGTTTTCCCAGGAGTTATTAATTGGCTTGGAGTTTTCTTTCTTTCTTCCTTCCTTTTTTTTTTTTTTTTTTTAAAGTACTTATCATTGTACTCAAGCAGCCCAAATTGATTTACCTCTTAGCTTCTTTCTCTGTAGGCATGATAACTTTGCCTTCTATCATCCAAAGTTTTGCTAATTTCTTTAAGCTTACCAACAGAGAGCTTCAGTGGGCATAGTAGACACTTGCAAGGATGATGATGGGGCCGGTGCGGTGGCTCATGCCTGTAACCCTAGCACTCTGGGAGGCTGAGGTGGGAAGATGGCTTGAGATTAGGAGTTAGAGACAGCTTGAGCAAGAGCGAGACCCTATCTCTACTAAAAATACAAAAAATTAGCAGGGCATGGTGGTGCACGCCTGTAGTCCCAGCTACTTGGGAGGCTGAAACAGGAGGATCGCTTGAGCCCAGGAGTTCAAGGTTGTGGTGAGCTATGATCATGGTACTGCACTCTAGCTAGGGTAACAGAGTGAGACTCTGTCTCAAAAACAAAACATAAAAAAGTATAATATGCTATTACACACTCCAGTTAAAATCTTCTTTAGATTTATAAATAATTTTCTGGTCAACTTACTGTTGTGAAAACTGGGATGTATTATAGCATCAATATCAGTAGTTTTGAAAAAATTAAACTAATTTTTCTAACCTTTAAAAAAATTATATTTACTCTATTAATGTGTTTATCAGATTAACCTGAGTCTCCCAGGTAATCCTTTGATTTCTGTTATGGTAACTGAATAAAACTCAGTGTGATGTAATCACAGGGATAGCATTTCACACCAGCTTGACTAGTGTAAGCCAGTAGTTCTGAAAAGAGGAAAACAAAATCCTAGATGGGGAGTTTTAATTCTCGAATGGAAAACATTTTTACTCTTCCTTAATGAGTTCTGTTGATGAGACTCCCGATTTCTTTTCCTTACTTACCTGCCTTTATTGTCGGCTTTATGCCAGACTTATAGAGTTCTGGTCTCACACGATGTTTTCAGTATTACTACGGGTAAAGGAAGTGACTGGGAGCCTAATGAATAAGGATGTATAAGGGAAGGTTTAGAGCTTAAATAGAAATAAATTTTGCATTCACTTTGTGTTGTCACTTTTGTGACTCAAACATTCTGACTTTTGTTAATAATTCATATTAAGTATTAGGCATGAAACTTGATGTAGATGAATTAGTCTTTCACAATTGGCATTTGGAACTATGCATCTTTAAAGAATATGGTACTGTAACTCCCCATTAATTTATATACTTATTTTTGGTTCTCCCAGTGTTTCTGAATACTCGATTCTTTCTCATTCCAATTGAGGTAATTATCCTTGTCTAATTCCTACTAAAGGCATAACAGTATGGGTGCAAATAGTTTCCTAAAGCAGTGCTTCTCAACTTTAATATGCATACAGATCACCAAGGGATCTTGTTTAAAATGCATTCTGGGCTGGGGCCTGAGAGTCTGCATTTCTAACAAACTTACTAACATGCTAATGTTGCTGTTCCTTCTGACCACACTGAATTGAATAGCAAAAGTCTAATATACCTTGGATGTGGGAGTAAAGTTGACCCCTTTAGAATATAGGATCTGTATTCAAATATCCGTGACCCTTGAACTTCTAGAAGTCAGTGGGAGACTTTGTATTACTGGCTGCTACTAAGTGCATCAAATAGTACTAGATTTATTGCTTCTTACAGACTTAAAAATATTTTATTATTTTTAGGTCACTGCTTACAAATCATTTCAATACTATGTTAGTGATATTGTGTATGTTTTATATATTAAATGTATAAACTATATTTCTGCTAGTGCCTTTGAAGAAAAAATACTATTCTTGGTACCCTCTAAACTTCAATTTGTAACGTGCAAGCAAACCTATATCTGTTAGTCATTAGGATCCTATTATATATTGTTTTATGGTTATGTAAACATAAAACCATAGAATATACTATATACTATATACTATATAGTATATACTATAGTATATATACTGTATACTAAATTAATAATTAGCTTCATTATAATGCTTGTTTTTTGTAATTAGATACTAGCAATGAGAAAAGATTAATGGCTTTTCTTTTTTTTTTAATAGCTCAGTCTCTAAAAGAATTTGCAAGGCTCCTTATTGCAGTAGAAGAAGAAAGGAGAAGACTGGTAAGTCTGTTCAGTGTTTCTTAAGAATATGGCTTTGTTTGGATATATTAAAAAGAAAGAATAGATCCCTTGATTTAGACAGTCATGTAAGACCTTATGACTTGATACATGTACTAAATATTACATATATTTATTTGGGAAAAGATTCCTGAGTATAATTATCAAATACTGCTAATAAGATAATTATTTGTTCTAATTATTTCATTTGTTCAGCAGATGTAAATGACCTTATTTTGCTTGACATTCAGTTGTTCTGAGAATTAAAAATATTGAATAAACTGACATTAAGAAACCCATTCCAATTCAGCAAACACTTAGAAGTTTTAACAGCCCCAGTGTTATAACAAAGACACATTTCAAGCATTAAAGACAGTTCATGGAAGGAGGTACTAACTTGCCAGGGTGTTACCAGGACCTTTTCCTGAAAAAGTGACATTTGAGTTGGGTCCTGAAGGCTGGGAGGATTTTGCTAGACTGAGAAGAATGGGAAAAGCATTCTAGATTGATGGGTTAATTTATGCAAAAGGATTAGAGCATGATTATTGGTAAAATACTTATCCATTCAAAAATATCTCTTGTATTCAAATTTCTGTGATGGTCCCTGTCTGTGACCCAGTATGCTCATCTGTGATATGGGAAAAATAGTAATATGTACTCCATAAGATTGCTGTAAAGAATTTATATTAATAGCAGCACCTGCCACATAGTAAATACATATTGATGGTGATAATGATGCTGAAAAGGTCAGTTATCATGAGGGTTACACACTTATTTAAACATCTTTGATTTCATTGCTTCACCATCCAGTTAGGGGATTATGTACACACATCCAGGCATATCTCATTTCTTTGTGCTTCACTTTATTGTGCTTTGCACATACTGTATTTTTTTTTTTTTTTTTGCAAGAGTTTGTGGCAACCCTGCTTTAAGCAAGTTTGTTGGCACCATTTTTCTAACAGCATGTGCTCACTTTGTGTCTCTGTGTCACATTTTGGTAATTGTCACAATGTTTCAAACTTTTTCATTAATATTTTTTGTGGGGGTCTTTGGTTATTATGAATGTTTTGGGGTGCTACAAACTGCACCCATATAAAATGGTAAACATAATGTTGTGTGTGTTCCAACTCCTCCACCAACTGTTCCCCTGTCTCTCCCTCTCCTTGGGCCTCCCTATTGCCTGAGACACAATAATATTAAAATTAAGCCAATTAATAACCGTAGAGTATCTTCTAAGTGTTCAAGTGAAAGGAAGAGTCACCTATCTCTCACTTTAAATCAACAGCTAGAAATGATTAAGCTTAGTGAGGAAGCCATGGCAACATCCCAGATAGGCCAAGAGCTAGGTCTCTTGTGCCAAATAGTCAGCTAAGTTGTGAATGCAAACGAAAATATCTGGAAGGAAATCTAAAGTGTTACTTCAGTAAACACACAAATGATAAGAAAGGGAAACAGCCCGTTACTCACATGGAGAAAGTTTTAGTGGTCTGGATAGAAGACCAAACCAACCATGATGTTCCCCTAAGCCAAAGCCTAATCCATGGCAAGGCCCTAACTCTTCAATTCTGTGAGGGTTAAGAGGGGTGAGGAAGCTGCAGAAGTAAAGTTTGAACCTAGCAGAAATTGGTTTGTGAGGTTTACGGAAAGAAGCCATCTCCATAACTTAAAACTGCAAGGTGAAGCATCAAGAGCTGATATAGAATGCAGCAAATTACCCAGAAGATCTAGCTAAGATAAGCGATGAACGTGGAAAGTGGCTACACTAAACAATGGAGTATCTGTGGAGGCGAAACAGCCTTCTGTTGGAAGAAAATGCCATCTAGGACTTTCATAACTAGAGAGGAGAAGTCAATGCTTGGCTTCCAAGGACAGGCCGACTCTCTTGTTAGGACCTAATGCAGCTGGTGACTTTAAATTGAAGCCAAGGCTAATTTACCATTCTGAAAATCCTAGGCCCTTGAGAATTATGCTAAATCCGCTCTCCCTGTGTTCTAGATATGGAACTTGAAGGCTGGATGACAGCACATTTGTTTATAGCATGCTTTACTGACTATTTTAAGCCTACTGCTGAGACCTACTTATCAGGAAAAAGATTCCTTTTAAAATATTATTGCTCAGTGACAATGTACCTAGTCACTCGAGCTCTGATGGAGATGTATAAGGAGATTAATGTTGTTTTCATGCGTGCTAACACAACATCCATTCTGCAGCCCATGGATCAAGGAGCCATTTTAAGTCAAACTTTTTAGTATGATTTAAGAAATATATTTCATAAGGTTGTCGTTGCCATAAATAGTGATTCTTCTGATGGATTAGGGAAAAGTACATTGAAAACCTTCTGGAAAGAATTTACCATTCTAGATGCCATTACTGTTTCATGGGAGGAGGTCAAAATATCAACATTATCAGGGGTTTGGAAAAGTTGATTCCAACCCTCATGGATGACTTTGAGGGGTTCAAGACTTCAGTGGAGGAAGTCACTGCAGATATAGTAGAAATAGCAGGGGAACTAGAAGTAGAAAGTGGAGCCTTAAGTTGTGACTCAATTGCTGCAATCCCGTGAAAAAAGGTGAACAGATGAGGAGTTCCTTCTTATGGATGAGCAAAGAAAGTGATTTTTGAGATGGAGTCTACTCCTGGTGAAGATGCTGTGAACATTTTTGAAATGACAAAGAATTTAGAATATTCTGTTAACTTAGTTGATAAAGCAGTGGCAGGGTTTGAGAGAATAGACTACGGTTTTAAAACAAGTTTTACTGTGGGTAAAATGCTATCAAACAGCATTATATGCTACAGAGAAATGTTTTGTGAAAGGAAGAGTCAGTTGACACAACAGACAATTTTTGTCTTATTGTAAGAATTGCTACAACCACCCAACCTTCAGCAACCACCACCCTCATCAGTTAGTAGCCATCCACAATGAGGCACCCCCTACATCACCAGCAAAAAGTTTATGCCTTGTCGAAGGATTAGATGATTATTATCATTTTCAGCAATAAAGTATTTTTATTTGTGTACATTGTTTTTTAAAACTTTGTGTGACTTGCCTTATTGTGACATTTGCTTTATTGCTGTAGTCTTGAACTGAACTCAAAATATCTTTAAGGTTTGGCTGTAAATATAATACTCAAATGTGGACTAAATGCTCTTGAAATGTGGCACAGTTTGGTGCCATCTTTCTAAATTTGTAAAAAAAGTAGTTTGAGGAAGGTGTTTTTAAGGTGACTTAATCCCTGGAGGCATTACACAAGTAGGGTATAGCAGTTGTATAAATGTTGTCGGAGAAAGCGCTGTATGTATTTGTGAAATAAGGCATATTGTTCTTAGAAGGGATTAGTAGAAGGTTAATTGGTAGTTGTGGCTATATGCAGGGTTTAAGTTGTAGGCCAAGAAATTTTTGGTGATTGTTATGGGTAATGGGGGAATTGCCAGAAGTTTTTGAAGAGAAGAATGAAAAGACCAATATGGGATTCAGGAGAGATTAATTTGGCAGCTGTGGGAGAAATAGATAAAGTGGCAAAGAAATGTCCTGATTCGTGGTAGTGATGGTGGGGTGACTATATTCTTGTGAGAGACATTAGCCTACCACTATCGGCGAGATAGCCACGCAATGTGATCTATACTACTGGGTACGTAACATATTATGTGCCTTTATGGGATGCTAACCTTTTCTGAGGGGGGGTCAGAGAAAGCTTTTTTGTGGAGATGACTTGGACCTGAGTCTTCAAGAATAAATCGACACTGTTTTAATTCCTTTTACATAATCTTCACTTTGCATCTCTGAGCTACACGATAGAAGTCCAACTTCCACGGGGAGATCTGGGTAGTACGTTCACTTATGGCCAAGAAAAGGAGCTGATGACAGAAATGGGAAAGTAAAGAGATGTGAAAATTAAGAGTTGGAAGTGGCATGGAAGCCAGGGGACTATACAATTCTGGATTGGCAAGGCTGTGATTCAGATCCTGTGCAAATAGTTCAGGAGAGCAATAAACCAACTACCATGGGTTATAATTTTAGACAATGTTTTGGTTTGAAGAACATGAGAACGTGTATTGTAGCTTGTGGGAGGAAAGAGAGCCAGGGCGATGTTATAGCACTGAGGAGACTTTGTACCAGGGGCAAAGCTCTTCCTCTGAGGTGGGAGAAAAGGAATAGAGGATTGGTGAAAACATAGTAGAATTTTGCAAAAGTAAATTGGTCGGTTGGACAGGTGGAGAACAGTGTTAGGGTGTTAGGAAGGAGTGGTTATCTGCCCTGACCAGGAATTTGTAGAAACAGTTTAGAGCAGCCAGGGGCAGGATATTCAAGAGAAGAGTAAAGGAACTAGGGTTAGGAATGACGGGTTGTTGAAGTCACACATCATAAATATGTGAAGGAAAGACTCCTTACCATGCTTTCATGGATTTTTCTAGCAATAGCCAATATTGACTATGGGCAGTAAGCACAGTTGGGAGGTCAGATTCAAGTTGGTGGTTGGCTCAGAAGATGTGGTGCTGGATTAAAGGATCCTGATGGAGTACAGTGATAGTTGAGGCAGGAGGGTACTGATAGCCTTGCAGAGAGGGCAAGCACAACTACTTAGTCATGTTGAGGGTTCACTGGGAGCAAAGAGTGGTGAGACAGAAGATGGGGAAGCTGTGATCAAGAGTGGGAGTTAAAATGTACTGAGTTTGGTCTTGGAGCTGGTCCAGAGAGTGATGAGGTTAGGATGTGGCTGAGTCAGGAGACAGGCCTTAGGAATCCAGAAGGCTGAGCTCAGAGATTTGGATGTTTTATGGGCAGGATCTTAGATCATCCAGTATGATGACAGGGCCAAGGACAGAGACCAAGGAGAGGAAATGGCTGAGGAATGTGGTTGGGTGTCCTATAAGCCATGGAGATGAAGATTGGACCACCTTCTCTTAGTGTTTCAGAGATCTTCATTTCTGCTTTTGGCCATGTTTCCAATGTTGGGGCAAAGAAGAAATTCTGCTTTCATGAGTGAAGTCATACTGTGGGTTTG